TTTGTACAATTTTGTTAGTTAACTTTTTCTCTGATATATGGTATGCACTCTAAGATTTCTATTAAGTCTAAGTTCAGTAGACCTCAGTAGACCGTAGACCTACGAAACTTTGCACTAATTTGTACAATTTTGTTAGTTAACTTTTTCACTGATATATGGTATGCACTCTAAGATTTCTATTAAGTCTAAGTTCAGTAGACCTCAGTAGACCGTTGACCTACGAAACTTTGACCTAATTTGTACGATTTTGTAAGTTAGCTTTTTCATGGATACACCTACATGCAAGAAGGTTGTCATACAAGGATATAACATTAGTAATTTAGTGAGAAAGGAATACATTAAAAGACAAAAGAAAAAGTTCAGCTTCAGTGATCTTCTTTTGTTTTTTAATATAATTCCTATCCCACTAAATCACTAATGTTCTATTTTCTTATGACAACGTTCTTGCAAGTAGGTGTATATGGTATACACTGTCTAAAGGCCTGTTAGTTTGGGTGCGACGTTTTCCCATTTCAGAACACGTGTCATCTCTTCTTTAGTTGCAGTAGCTTAAGATTCTCGACTCTTTTCTCTTACAGACGTCATGTCTTATTATTGATTTTTCTTTATGCGCAAAGAACTTTGGGTACGGTCGCCATTTTGTTACCAATAAAACGCCCGTTCTTGTTTTCTTTTCCAGGGTTCACTGTCCATTGGCCGTTTCCTAGCGATAGGAATTGCTATGTACATCAAGCCTCCTACTATGATGATGATTGATCTGGTAACATATAATAATAATGATCAATAAGTAATGATCCTCTTTTGAAAGTTTCTTGTTTAGTGCGCATGCGTAGATAAATAACCTGACCCAATCGTATCCATAGCCCTTATCTTTTACTGCGCATAATCGTAGAGCATGCGCAGTAAAAAATAAGGGCTCTGGGTACAAGATTGAATAAGCCTGAAGCGAGATGACGTTTTTCCCCCGACTCTATACCATAATAGCTTTTAAAATTATTTCATATTAAAATTTTTGATTCCTTAGAGAATACAGGAACAATAGTCATAATTAAAGAACAAAAGCAGTGTGGATTATGGTCTAGAGACGGGGGTAAAACGTCATCTCGCTTCAGGCTTGTTGTCAACCTCAAAATGCAGTAAATCTATTAATGTATGGTTTTTATCATTTTAAAAATTTTTATCAAGTTTATCTGAAGTGGGATCCCTGTGGGTAATAACGAAACCAAGAAGTATCGGATCTTTTTGATTAGCATTTTCTTTTTCGATCATAAACCATCATTTTTTTTTTTTGTTATTCAAGGTCGGATGTCTTGTGTCTACGTTTTTCATGTTGATATTTGAGCGATACGAGACTGCACTCTGGCTTGGTACTACAGGCGTTGGATTATTCATGAGTAGTGTCTTCCCGACAAGCATTGCTCTAGCGGAGCATTATATAGAGATAACAGGTAGGGTGCATGTTAAAAAACACTGCAAGAAGAAAAGATAAAATCAAGCATTCTATCGCTACATTATTTCAATTTTTTATCTGTTTTTCTCCCCAGCACCTGTAACAAGTATAATGATTGTTAGCGCTGCTTTGGGTGAACTGTTTCTTCCTCTCCTTGTTGGCCAGGTTGGTTTGTGCGTCCTTTCTATATTCACGAGACCACTAATTCGCTAAATGCTCCTTTAAGTACGTATTTTAATTTTTCTTCAGGTGTTTGAACGACTTGGTCCTGTCAGCTTTTTGGCCATCGCTTTCTGCGCATGTCTATTGGCTTTACTCATTTTCATTTTATTGAGAACAGTAGAAGAACAAGGTAGGAAGAAACCCGTTATCATGTTTCGCAAGAATGGCAATCGCGCTGCAGTCTGTATTGTGACTAAAATGGCTTCTATATACAAGCAAATAAAAGGCGTTGCATTCGCTTTTGCTTTTTCTAAAACTTTCTCACGCGCAGCCATGTTTATTGAAACCAAAACAAATTATGTAGCCTCACATTCCACTGCATCAGGATGAGTTTAACCAAAGGCTTTATGACAATAAACATGGCTGCCGCATGATTTATAAAAATGATTGGAAGAGTCACTCCATCACACGTTTGTCAATGAAGAGAAATGATGTCCAGTGAAAACCATATATAAGACACGTGCACGCCACGATCACAGTACGGAAATGAAATCATACTTGTCCACTGAACCAATCAGGTCGCTTTAAATAACGATATGTCCAAAATGTTCTCACGAACAACCCGCAAGTTCATCGCGCATTATCTTTAATGTTTTACAGTTGAAGCCCGCACTGTAGTTACTCACTGTAGTCTCTCCTTTGTAATTGGTTAGATGAATAACGTTCTTCTCGTAATAAGCTAATCATCCACCTTTTTTCTCCATTTTGTTTGATTCAGATTGGTTTGGTTTCATCTGGTTTGTTTGGTGTGGCCAACCACCCAGTTCCGCCACAGACAACCCTGCTTCTCCTAATGTAGAGACGGGTAAAACACCGGTTATCAACACAGTAGAAATGAATGTACAAGGATAATAATAACCATAGATCACGTGATTGAATCAGCCAATGGAAGACCTGCTTCAGCTAATGTAGAGACGGGTAAAACACCG